ATGTATGAGTATTATTATGTGTTACTTTGGGATGAGTTTGTAGATGGTAGAGAATGACATGTTTGCATTCTATAATGCATAATTGCATTTAAACATGTGAATTTAGAAAGAATTATAAGCATGAAACCATCTACATGCATACATATTTATAAGAGTATGAGAAAGCACTAAAATATGTTAAAGAGAAAATAGAAAGAAATGAGAATATTAAAGATATTCAAATCCGAATTTTTAGTTAAAAAGTGTAAAAGAAAAAAAAAAAAAAAAAAAAAAAAAAAAAAAGGTTGTTGCGATGGGGAACCCATGAGTGACATACCCCACATGCACGCCGCCTTTAGTGAGCGCCTCAGATTCAGAAAGAAGAATTGTACAGTCTGTTAGAAGTGCGTGTGGATGAGGCCTGTACCCAAAATTAGAGAATCACTCACACACCAGGGCTCCAAATTCATGCCTCAACCAAGTCCATCATCAAGAAAAGAACAGAACGAAAAAAAACAAAAACGAATAAGAAAAATAGAAAAGAAAATGCATAATTTGTGCATTTGTGCGTTTGCATCATGAATATGCATAATAACATGCTCATTATCCTGAGTAGTGAAAAATTAGAAAATTTAGAGAAAAATAGAGAGCAAAACAGAGAAAGAATGAGAAAGAACAGAAAGAAAAACAGAGAAAGAATAGAGAATAATCGGGAAATGAGATGTAAGGAAAAGAAAATTCAGAATTTAAGCAACGGAAAGAGAAGGGTAGCATAGCGGGTTTACTTACTGAACAATTAGTGCTCACTCCGTTGTTTTTAATGTTTTTGCAGGTAATAGGTGAGTTGCGGTCGCTTGGAACGTCACGCAGTGGAAGGGTTGGGCTACACTGTCAAGTTGCTATTTTGAGTATATTTTGTAAATATTTGTATATAAAGAAAAATTAAATATGGGCCCATACTTTATTACTCATTTATATGTGTATTTTCTCATATATATTTTTAATGAGTTTTACTGATTATTTTACGAGTATACTAGCTAGAAAGAAAGTATTACAAAGGACTCAAACATGAAGAAGCCAAGAAAATGTCTGACGTGATAGACAAAATTGAGAGGAAGATTTGAAGAAGAAATCAAGAAGAGGCAAATAGCAATTGGAATGGAGAATTGGAAAGAAATGTGCGGGTTACTAGGTTAGACTTTTAGGGCAAATACAAGGGCTTTTGCCTCTTGAAAGTTGAAAGTGTTAGAGTAGGTGCCCTAAAGCCAATAAATTACTGTAGTATTGACTCTTCGTAATCATGTTTTATTATCAATAAAAGGCATTTATCTATGCCATATGATCTAATTATATTCGTATAAGAAAATGGTATATGTCCTTAGGATAATAGAACCGTGATAAGGGCATCGAGTGTTTGAAATCTCGATAGTGAAAACCCTATGAACACATACAGTAGTCATTCTAGAAACGTTCATAACCCCAGTATTATCTTGACCTAGGGCACAAATAATACAGTATGACTATCATAGTGTTGGACGACCCTGTCGAAAGGTATTGATAGATCTTACTTGTCAAGGTTGTTTAGTGACAACCTGGTGCAACACATGGGTGCTTGCTTATAAGCAAGTTCACTGAACCAACCCACCAGAGGATTTGATACGTTTATAAGTCCTAAAACACTTGTAAACATAAGTGGACAAGGAATTGCAAGTCCTGAAACACTTGCTAATTCAGTTGAATTGAAGAATTTCACTCCAAGTCCTAAAACACTTGGATTATGGAATGTGGGAAGCAATAGAGGAAATTTCTCCTAAGCAAGTTCCAAGGAGGGAGAGAGCCCAAGCATTTCGGCCCAAACCATTCCAAGTCCAAGCCCAACAAGGGAAGCTCAAGCCTACCAAGAAAGAAGTCCAAGTGTTGAAAAGGTCCAATCCAGCCCAAGTCTCATTCCAAAGATCCACATGAACCCTCATTGGATCCATTTGCATGATTCTCAAGCCCAAATTCTTACACCCTTATTAGTAGACTTAATTAGGATCATTGATCAAGTTTTGATCTAATGAAATAAGCTTATTTCAACTAATGGGGTGGTTAAAGACATAGATCCTAGAATTAGGGAATAATATCTCTTTTGCATTAAATAGGCATGGCCTTGCTTTTTAAATGAATGGCTTGTAATATTAGTTAAGTTTATTTCATTTTAATGTATTTGTCAATTACTTGTTTATCCTTGTATTTGCCTATATAAGGGCAACTATTTCATTGTAACAATTAGCTTATGAAATATATGAAATTTGGTTTATCCATTTGAGAGACCTTGTCTGTTCTTGAGCGTGCATTCTTTATCCAAGTCTTGGCAAGGGGATTTGGTGGTGAATTAATTCAAGTTGGTGGAGTAATCCTTTAAGCTTGAAGTGTTTCTACTTGTCTTGGTCCAGATTTGCAAGTAAGTGTGACTTAGTTCATGTTTTCAATTTGGCTGAATTTCTACTTGATTTTTGGAGTGTGTTGTGTTAATGAATTGGTTGGAAATTGATCAGAATTCCATATGGATTGTAATCCCAGTGTCTATGTAATAAATCTTCTAACGAATAGTGGTACATGTGATCCTTAGACTTAAGATCACTGGAGCGCCTTGTACACCGATTGATGTAGTTTGACACTAGCCCAACGTAGTTATATTTAGAGCTATCAATACGGTCATGATTGGCTATATTAAGGAGTGTATCAAGACTAGGTGGATCAACAGATTCATCACTCCCGGGTATGGGAGAAATTATCTCACTGAATAATTTGGTAGATGGCAACGACATTAAATCTATGGCCACAGTGGGATTGAATTGTAGCTCAATTCAATCTATTCCGATCATTGGTCCAATAACCAAATACCGACATATCAAGGATATCTGAGGTTGATACTACTTCTATACCTCGGCCTTGATGAGATAATAGATGATGAAAAGATTGAATTGTAAGGTAACCATATCATTGATAAGTAGCGATTTTCTAAATCCGGATCCATCAAGTGGCCATGAGCCTGGCTAGAGGTAAATCTTGGTCTGTGTCGAGTAGGACAATTGATTGATTTTCAATTGCGATACTATTCACTACCGATACGATGAGGAGCCTTTGGGTCGCACACATAGAAGACAGGATAAGAACATAATTCGTGAGAGGGGTATTTTCATCATTTATGATGAAATGGCATTTTGGTAATCTCACAGTGCAATTAAATTTGCTGAGATTGTTGCTTAAATTTAATTTTGTATGGAAATTAAATTAGTGAGATTATATATATATATATATATATATATTATTATAATATATCTATAATATATATTATATATATATAGATATTATATATATATTATATATTTGAATTCAATATATAATGGATATTATCTAATATTAATATTAATAATATGAAATTCAAATTTGGTTTTTAAATTTGAATTGAATTGAATTTAAATATAATGGATGTTATCTAATATTAATATTGATAATATGAAATTCAAATTTTGGTTTTTAAATCTGAATTAGAAATGACATGTTTGGTTGCATAGGGAATCTATTCCAAATTGGAATAAGTTGTTTGCTATTCGAATTGGAATAGATGGCTATTCCAAGTCGGCATAGGATTTTAGTGTGCACTATTTAATTGCAACCAAAAATTAAATAATTTAATGATTGAGTTGCTAAATTGAAACCCTAGCCACTCTTCTCTCTCTCAAAAACGTCATCCCCTTTTGTGAGGAAAATAATTTTTCTATCTAGGAAAAATTCTACTGTGATTTGTTCTTGTAGGTGAGTGATCTTCCTAGCCTAGAAGTCTCTCATCGACAGTAGTCTTGTCTTCGTGTGGATATCGGGAGTGCAGTTCTATTTTGAATTGGCTTGCGAATCCAACATCAAATCAAAGGAGCCTCCAATGCTGGTATGATATATTTTCTTTAATTTGATTTCTTTTATGCAAAATAATGTAAATGGCGTAATGATAATGGGTTAAAGGTTAGGGGATCTTGAATAAATTTTTTTTCAATTCCGCTGCATAATGGATTCGTTAACTTACAGAAAAGAGTTAAAGGAAAATGAAGTTTAAAAAAAACGGGTTTTTTATTTTTTTAATAATACCGAGTATCAGGTACCCGGTTCTCTTAAAATATATACCTGATTCCCGAACCAAGTACCCATAAAATCGGGTTCGGTTAACGGTTTTTTTTTTCACACCCTTAGGTATGTTATATAGATTACTAAATTGCCCCTATTTTTTAATATTATTTAGATTAATTTTAACCCCTACATTTGAGAATTTAGCTAAAACACCATCACAATAAAAGTTTAAAAATTAATAAAAACATCTCATCACCACCAGTCGGTAGTCATGCGTCACCACCAGTCGGTAGTCATGCGTCGATCTAACTATTGTTAATGGCCAGATAGATCAACAAATCTGGTCATTAACAACGGCCAAAGATTTGCTCGTTAACAACGGCCAGATCGACGCACAGACGGCTAGATCTAATTGATAGTTCATCGTTCCAAAGGCGTCTGTCGGCAAGTAGTGGTGGTGGCCAGCGGAGGGCGATAGTGGCCAAGTCCGGTATTCTTGTAAATTGTTTTCAATATAAGGGCATTCTTGTCCAAAAGTTTTGTTTATAAGAATAAAATAGTCTATGAATATTTTTATAAATTGTTTTCAAAACAAGAGCATTTTTGTCCAAAAGTTTTAATAGTTTGGGAAAAAATTATAACAAAAATAAGATTACCAAGTAATCTCAAAATACGTAAGAAAATTATGGTATTCAGATTACTACCTATATAACTAACAGTGATTACTATTGGTTTTAAAAAATTACTGAAATCTTATATTACTTATCAAGTAAACATAATAATATAAATAATATAAAATGATATTATCTCAGTGAATAACCCTCGACCAAACAGCCCTAAAAGTAAATGAGATCCGAAGACCTTATTTATATACATATAGCGAAGTCCAAATTAACAGTTAAGGTTGAAGTAGCTGATCTCTAAGAACTGAACTTCAGGTTCCCCACCAAACATACTTGTACATCTGAATAGTGGAGCTATAAAGGCACGTGCACATTAATTTCCTAATCATCCTCACACACGGGATTCTTCAGCTATATTCCTTGCATGAATTATCTTGTCAGAAACCGTTTTAGAGACATTAGTTTCATTTCCTTCAGCATTGTGCTGGCATTGGATCACAAGAACGGATGATAAAATGCAATAGTGTGATGAAGCCAAAATGTTTCCAATCGGTCCCAGCTCCACGTTCTCGGCCTGATTATCGGCAATTTTTGCCTCCATATTTGATGGGAACCTTCCTTTCCCAACTAATACAAGGTCGTAATCCCTACTTTGCCCAATCGTTAGCAGTTCCTGTTTGATGTTGCTCATCATCTTCTCTTGGTACTCCACTGACTCGCTCAACTTCCTCTTGAATCCCTCCAGTGCGACATCATCCAGTTCCTGCTCATGGCATTTCAGCACACTAGATAAACACTGTTTAAAATCATTGACTCATGTTGGAAAATTTTACCTTTTCCCCCTCGCAGTTAATCTCGTTCCTTGATAAGCCATTGTCGTTCTCAATGAACCTTACTAGAGTCTGCTTAAATGTTGCTTGTTCTGCCATTCTGCCGCCTAGTTCCAAAGATTTCCGATCATCGGGGCCCCCGACGAATACAATGCATACCCTTTTCGGCATGGAAGCGGTGGAGTCTCCCACCGTCTTAGACTCGCAACTAAATCCACGGTCGACGAGCACTGCCACCGAGCAAGGTGCATTCTGTAAAACCTTCCGGTTGACCTCTCTCCAACTAGGTAAAACGCTATCCATCGCCTCTGCGCCGTCTCCTCCTCTCCACTGTTTGCGGAAGGACAAGATGATCATCGTCACCCTCTTGTCCTCCGCAACATGGAAAATGTCCTCATTCATTGAAGACAACGATGAAATGGCTGTCAAATGGCGAATAATGGCTCTTCCCTGTTGCTTATAAGTTTCAAATGCAGTGACTATTTGATTATTTGACATGCCCCGACGGACTTTATTAATGAAAGGAACGCCATTCTTTCGAGCTTTCTGAACCATAACAATCGACGACGAGCGGTCAGTGAGCTCAACAAGGTGCATGACGTAGAGTTTGAGACGGGATATCTTGGTGTTCCTCATTAACTCTATAACATTGATGAGTGAAGGAACACTTTCAGGACCGTGTATGCAAGCCAAGATCCGAAATTCGTCTTCTGGTTTCTCGCCATTCGCTGATTTTCTCTCCAATTGTTGTCGAGTTTGAGTAGTAACACTACGGAGGGGTTTGTAAATCGCCAAAACTGTTGGAGTTGTCATGAGAGTAGTAACGAGTGCCATGAGCACCAAAATTGCGAACACCTCATCATTAAGAACCTGTTGATCAACACCATAACACNAAAAAAAAAAAAAAAAGTTCCTAAATAATCATGTCCAAGAAGATTACATTGTTAAATTTTATGAAATTAGAGGCATTTGTTGGACCTAGCAATGGCATAAAGATATTGGGCCAAAATGTAGAAAATATAAGTAATCTAGACCCATCTGTTTGAAAGCTTTGAAAGAAGCTAATACTTGAAAGGTATGTTTGACATGTAACATAACATAGCATTAAGCACATTGTGCAACATAACATAACATTGAATAATACTACACATACATCATTCCCATACAAAATTTCTCATACAACATTATGTGGCAAGATGTGATTGGGTGAAAGTTTAATTTTAACTTTAAATTAGCCAATCATATCTTACCACATAATGTTGTATGGAAAATGTTGTATGAAAATGTTGTATATGTAGTATTACTCCATAACATTAAGCACATTGTATAATGTATAATATAGTATAACATTACATTGTATTATATAATGCTATGCTAAATGTTGTATGGTGTTTAGTAGAATATTGCACTGTATTAATTTGTATACTATGCTATATTTGGTGTATGAATTACATTACATAATGTTAGTTTTATTCTTAACAAATATTCATTTATTAAAAATTAATATATTTTTCAATTATTATTTAACTAATAATTTTTTTTTTTTTTTAAAAGTCAAAAGTTGAATGGGTTAATGGTCAATACCGATAAAAAACATTGATCAACACCAATCAAACTCTGGTCAACAATAGTAAATGAAGGTGAAACACCATTGACCGACGATTGGATATTTAAATTAATTGGCAATTTTTATTTGTTTAAAATTATTGTTAAGTAACATTATATTAACTAGTGTAATGGTTTTAGTAAACATTATTTATTATAGAGTACATTATATTATTTAATACCATTAATCTCAAGGGATTGCCTAACGGTAAAAAAAGTCAGTTTCCTTCATAGACTTCTTAGGTACACGTAAACTAGTCCAGACACATTGGTCATTAAAAAAAGAAAAAAGAAAAAAGAGAGATACGAGATTACTTCCAAATTCCAATTCATAGCTAGAGTTCAGATGAAGATAGAAAGAAAATCTAAACCCAATTCAGATAATTGTCTCTAGAAAATTTATACGGCTTTGAACCCCTAAGATTAAACATTATTACAGTCAGTGGCGGATCCAGGATTTTTGTCGAGGAGAGACCTTCGAGGCTCCGTTATTGTTTGCTGAACAACTAGTAAAAACTTAAAAAAAATCATGAAACCTTAAGCAAAGAAAATAATACAATATCAAGAATCTGAGAAAAAAGAATGCAACAACGCAATACTTTCCTATTTGAATAAATTCATGAGAAGCAAAAATTTTAGTAAACGTGTTAAGTAAACCTTGAGCAAAACCTTCTTTTATTATTATTATTTTTTTTCCAAAGATTATAATATAAATTTTTATGACTTTGACTAGACCTAACCTAAGCTAAAATCAACCAAAATTTAAATCAAGTCAACATTGCGTTGACTTTTAATATGAATTAATAAATAAAAAAAATTCTTGATATAAACATAGATAGTAACTCAAATTTATTTATTTATTTTGAGTTGCAGGATGATGATGTTTGAAATGTAGAAAACTGGTGAGTGAAGGGTGAAGAATAACGTCTTTTAAAATATAGTTAAGGTTTTAATTTAGGGAAACAAGTTCATTCTTAAACACAAGACATAAAATAAACTCACAAGATCCATGTCTTTTCTCCTCAAATTAGAATAAAAAACCTCAAAAAAAAAAAAAATAATAATAATTCAACCATAAAATAAACTAAATTGAAATGAGCAATACACATACCTAAAATTGATAAAACAGAAAACATAACTAATTATGACACCTTGAGTAGTGAAAGCTTCAACAATTTCGGTCTTCCAAAGTTTTAAGATCGAATAGCATAAGGAAGAGAAAGAGAGAATGAGAGAGTAAATAATTTTGGGGATAAAATTATAAAAAACAGGTGGAGCCGGAAGAAGAGTGGAGAGAGTTTGAAACTTTTAATATGATGTGGGCTTGGAATATATATATATTAATAACAAGTTTTTTGTGGGTCTAGATATATGTATAATAATTCTGATTTTTTTAAAATATGAGGGTAGACCTAGGTATATATATATATTATAATAACAATTTTTGTGAGTCTATATATTAATAATTTTTTTTTTTAAAAAAAACTTGAGGGTAGGCCTCAAAGGGGTTGGATCTGCCCCTGGGTTAGTTGAGTGGTAAAAGTTTGGGATCAAAGGGTTTGTTCTCCCTGTGATATTAGGTTTTGTTAGAAAAAATACATAATAACAAATATTCTAAACTAATCCTAAGATCATGTTCATAGTCACCTATTGCAATAATATNAAAAAAAAAAAAAAAAAAAAAAGTTTTAGATCTTCAATAAATAATAAATAATGTCTAAATTATTCTAGAAAATTTGAATATGTATGGAAGCTAGTGTTAGTGTTAATGATTTATCTTAATACTATTTACACTTTAAAAAAAAGAGAGCGGGGGGTTGTTAATAACAAAAATTGTGGGAGCTAAAAATGATTTAAGTTTAAACTTTAAAGGAGTAATTTTGGTATTAAATGATGTTTAAAAAAAGATTTTAAAATATAAATAGGGTATACCTAATAGTCGTGCTTCTGATAAATTATATTTTTAGCTTCCACCTAGTTGATTAGTAACCCTTATCACTAAATACATCTCTTTTATGATTTAAAAAAAAAAAAAAAATATCCCTTTAAACCTCATTTTATATCGAAAATATTCTTCTAAGCTTAATTAGGTTTATTTTCGTCAATTTAAAACTTAATTAAGTTTTTTGTCTTACACATTTTTTCCCCTATCTCAAAACAATTAGGTTTTTTGCACCCATTTTCTCCAATTTCCTAATTTTAATTATCAAAATTACCTTTTTTTTTTTTCTTCAGATTTAGATTAATAATGTTGTGTGATTACTTTTTCTATAGTTTTAGTATTATATATTTTAAAAAAAACAAATATTTAAAATAAAGAAATTTTTTTAATGACTTTTAAATGTTAGGATTAGGATTTATATAAAATTAACGATAAAAATTAAAATAATATAAAATATAATATGAATGACTTAGAGGTGGGAAAGGCCCGGGCCTAGTTGGTCTTAGGACTGGGCCATCAAGGTCCGAGCCCAATTTTGGCTTGGTCCTTAATAGCTCAGGCCCAAATAATCAAGGACCAGTCTTGCGCCCATGAGATTTCTCAGGACTGATCATGGGCCCATAGGACTGGTCCTGGGATTGGTCTTATAGGCTTGGATAATTTTTTTTTGTAAATTTTTGTTTAACCTTTATATTTATTGTTAATTTCATATTAAATTAGAGATTTTGGATATTTTATAGGGGTTAAAAGATAGTTGGAGAGGGGAGGTTTGGGCCTTGGAGGAAGGCCCAGACCCTCGTCCCTTGGGCCTGGTCTGGTCTTAGAACTGATTCTCCCAAGGACCGATTTTTTTGGTTGAGTTTTTGGGAGACCTAATTCCCACCTCTAATGAATGTATTTAGAAATTAACCTCATTTCTAATCATTTGAGTAAAGGCTAAATTTGTCAATGCATCTACAGACTTTGAATTTTAAAAAGCACCAGATGTGACGGCGGCACTATAAAAAGGAAAAAGACAAAGAGGACTCACTTCACTGAAAATAATTTTCCACTTAGGTGCATTTGTTCGTAGCCACGTGGCACAATATCACTTGTTTATCATATGATATTCACGTGGGCATGATGAACAAAAAGACTTGAAAGTGAAACTATTACGTGAAATGGGTTATGACGTAAGCCTCTCCATAAAGGGATTTAAAAATTTTGTTTTAATGCATCAAATTCATAATCTTAAAACACACGTTAAGATAATATTTTTATAAGAGTTTATTTTTTTTATAAATATATTAAATAAAAAATATAAAGGATTTATATATGTATATGTAATATAACTATTTTTGTGATTTTTCCAACTACATATCAAAGACATTAATAGTTATATTTTTTTTAATCACCGAGAGTGATTGAATCAGTTTTCGCATATTTCAACTAATTCTTTAGAATCTTAAAACTGTTGATCAGATAAAAACCCTACTGATCACCCCTATTAGTGTTTGGAGAGACTCGAATGAAGAGTTTATGAAGTTTCTTTTCGCTCTTTTACTATTAAACTATTCAGTAGTAGTTAATTAACGATTATATTTAAACATTAATAACATTTCAATAATAACATTAATATAAAAGGTTGGATGTGTTTTTGAATGAATAAATATTATATTGTAGAAAAAATGAAACAATTTCAAATTGGTTGCCGACGTCGGCAACCAAAAAGTTGATCAAGGAGTAGGTTAATCAACTTTTTGGTTGCCGACGTCTAACTATCAGAATAGTGATATTTTCAAATCGAGGCAATAAGAATGACATTTTCCCACCCAAGGTTTGGCAAAATGACACTTTCCCATGCTTTGTTAGATTCTATTATGTTTTCATTAATATTTTATTAAAAAGATGAAAATACCCTTAAATATTTATCTTTTTTATTTTTTATTATTTTTTAATTATTCAAAAAGTCAAATATTAAAAGTCAATAAAAAAAAAAAAGTTAACTCTACTTAAAAAATTAGGAATAATACTATGTAATTGTTTAAAGTTAAATGATTTTAATATTTATTTATTTATTTATAATGTCATCAATATTTTATTATTATTATTCACTAATTTACTAAATTTATAATGTTTTTCATTTTTACTAATTAACATATAATATAAATATTCTTAATTAATTAAATAAACAAAGGAAAAAAATGTATCTTTACATTTGAACTAATAAATAATCGAGTAAAGACTTTGACTTAATTAAATTTTGATTTATAATAAACTAATTAAGAAATAAACATTTTAAGAGTAT